GGGACTCAATAACAGATAGGGTTTAGCCTTAGATCCTACAGGCTCACAAACAGACTCAGACTCGGACTCGGACGATTCAGATTCATCAAACATAGGGCCCTCGCCAGTGGTGACTTCCAGCTTATCTCCGCTTGGCGTAGTGATCTTCACAGTCTTGCGCCAACCCTTCAAAACATCGTCGGCTAGGGTAATGAGCTCGGGGGGTTCAAATACCTTGTTTGACATGATAGCTTGAATGAGCACAGAGTTATCAATGTCGATACACTTGGGTTCATTTTTCTCGAGCCCAAAGAGAAGATTAATAGCCATATCACCAAAGCCCAGACTAGTTGGTTCCCTAGCTGTTGGGAACATATCACCTTCATCGATGAAGTCACAATCCATAAAGACCTCAAATTCTGGCTCACGCCTCCCATTGTAAATGAGAGGTTCAGGAAATTCATAGCATGGAAAGTCCTCCCCTTCCTTGATGTATTGACCATTGAGAGTAAGGGGATAGGGATCCATAGACATCTCTGCATTCATGGCACGAGCTGTGTTGTAAGCAACCATCTTGAGCACAGCTTGCTTCATATCTTCTTTTGTTGGCTTGAATCATAAACCAAAGGTGTCTTTCTTGGGTGCACCAGGATAGCCCCAAAGTTCAGCCATTTTTTTCTTAATTCCAAGGGTCATTCCAGGGAAATTCCCTTGTTTGTTCATGATTGCATTTATGTTGACATTAGAATAAGGATCGAAGTCGAGATGACATTTCTCTTCCTCCTAAACCATGAGAACATCTTCCAGAGAAAAGCCTCAAAGATTCTCATCTTCATCATCGTGCTCAACATGGATAATGGGGGTTTCGATGACATGGATATGCATTGAAGAGGCATCAATGGTGATTGGAATCCCTCCAATTATTTCTTTGACTTTCTGGTGCAGCGATGAAGGGATCACCTTTAACTCATGAAGCCAAGGGCGTCCTAACAATAGATTGATCTAAGCCTTAATGTCCACAACTTGGAACTTAGTGCGACGTTCAATGGCTCTAGTAGTAATGTTCAACATGATAGTACCCATGGCTTCACGACGTGTATTATCATAAGCACGAATCCCTTGAGTGGAGGGAATCAATTCTTCATCTTTTATGCCAAGCTTCTTCACAGTGTGAAGCGGGCACACATTGATTGCTGAGCCATTATCAACTAGGCTCATAGGGACATTCATTTTCCTACATACCACAGTAAGGTGTAGGGCCTTGTTATGTTGATCCCCTTCTAGGGGTAAATCCTTGTCGGAAAACGAAATCAAATTGTTGGTACTCGGTAATTTAGTAGTAAGGAAGTTGACTAGCCCTTGAGGAGTCATGTCACTATCAACTCCTACCTTCACAAGAGCATTCATCACAGCCTTTCGATGCTCATGGGAAGTAGCTAAAAGCTTTCACACATTCATTTCCACCTTAGTCTTTTGAAGTTGCTTGATCACATTGTTGCTTAGAAGGTCGGTGGGATCAACTACTGGTTGTGCTTATGGTGAAGGTGGAGGTGGACTAGGTTGTTGCAACCTTCCATTCCTGGTGAGGACTTCGACCTCGAGATCGCCCCAAACATCTTCACTAACGTCGTGGTTGACGGTGCCAAGAGGTGAACAGGCCATGTCTTTGATATAGACGTCCTCATCATCACTATCCCAAATTCCATTAACTTCTTCATAAAATAGAATAAGAATAATTTCTGGCAAGATTCATCCACAGATTGGATGAGTAATGACAGATCAAAGAAGACTTCATCTCCTGTGATAGTCAAAGCATCAGAAAGAGGACCTGTTTGAATATTAGGCTTCTTGGCCCCTAGAGGGATAAGAAGATGATTGGCATCAATCAAAGTCCTGAATTGCATCCTTTAACTTCCAGCATTATTCAGTAGTATGACCCCTACCTAGGTGAAACTTACAATGAGCGTTGGGGTCATAGCTGACACTTCTATTCTCAGGTTGGGGCTCTAGAAACGGCCCAATAGGCATGATTAATCCTTGACTGTGCAGACAATCGAAAGCGGTATCATAATTCATTCCCAAATGTGTGTAAACCCTCCTTTTCCTTTGGAATTTTTGTGTGGGAGCATTGAGAGTAAACACGTCATTGATATTGTATTGGCTAATGTTGTTGGTAGCATTATTGGGCTTGGAAGACGAGGAAGAAGGATTGTCGTTCTTCTTGTTTTTCCAAGTGCTATTGTTATTGTTACTACCAGCAGCAGACTTGATCAGTTCATCTTCAATCTCGATGCCCACACTGTACACAGCTTCAAAGGCGTTCAAGGGCAAGAACCTAAGATGTTGCTTATACTAGTGAGTCTGGTTCTGGATGAAGAGGCGAACCATCTCTCTTTCTTTGGGACGATCCACCAGGAGTGCAGCTGTTTTCCTCCACCTTTTCATATAAGCAGTGAAGCCTTCATTCTCTTTCTGTTTGAGAATGGAGAGTTCACATTTAGAGGTACTGGCTTGAATGTTACATTTGTAACGATTCATGAAGCTCTTAGTAACATCTTCCCAAGTCGCAGTATGCTAAGATTCCAAGGAATAGAACCATTGTTGGCAGGCATGCTCCAAGGAAAGAGGGAACACTATAGGGAAGAGTGTTACATCTAGTCCTTTAAGAGCCATAGTTGAGAAATACTTCAAGTGGAACATTGGGTTGTCAATAGGCTTGAACTTTGGTATATCAGAAGTGGAGAACTTTTCAGGGAGCTTGTCCTTCACAGCCAAAGAAGTGGCAGGTTGTTCCACATAGGTGAAGTCCTCCGAAATTTTCCTCACTTGCTACTTGATTTTGTCAACTGCGGCAACAGTGACCTTGGTTTGTTCCATGGTATTGATTTGGGTAGTGAGAGTTTTCATTATGGTAGAAAGTGCATCGATGGACTTGTGAATGCCCTCAATGTCTTCCTTAGTGGCCATTGGAATGAATTGAAAGTAAAATGGAGATGGTGAAGGAGATGAACTTTGTGGAAACGATTGTGGTGGTTTCCTTGTACGCCTCTTATGTATAAGAGTTGTTGTGGAAGTGACTCGAATCGTACCAATCTACCCCTGCTTCTCGACCAAGCGCTGCGATATTGAAACAAACGCACCTCTGCACTTGACGAAGACATAAATCTTTCAGGTGGTTGGGCTAAGATGGGGGATGGGGTTTCTACAAAAAAAAAATTAAAAATAAATAAATAAATAAATAAAGGTGGTGAAATTTGCTCCAATTGTTGATTTTGAGTTGATTGTTGATTCTTTGTGGATATTATATAATAATTTTTCATTGTGGTTGAATTAATAACTAAGAGGTTGTGGGACTATGGTGTTGGGAAGAGCTAGTCTACCATAAAAGTATTTTTTTTAAGGGAAATTGTGTATAACCAGTTATAATAGGTAATGGCTGGAAATATTAGCTCCGGTCACCAGTTTAATACCTTATTTGCAACAAATGTAACTTCAATACCTTAATTACTACTTTCACAGAAGTTCAATACCTTATTATGGTATTAACTCTTCCATCCATTGACAATTTAAATATTTTTCAATTTAAAAATTAAATTTCATTCACTTAAACACGCTGTTGTATTAAAATAATAATAAAAAAATAAAAAAATAAAAAAAAACTACCTCTGTTTCATATTTTTTGCAAATTTTGGGTATTATTTGTGAGATATAAAATATTTCATAGTTGCAAAAAATATGAAACGGAGGTAGTAATAATAATAACAAATTGGGTTTATTGTATAAAAAAAAATGAAAATTGGTAATGAAGTCCTTTTGCATCCAATTATGTTATTGTTACTATTATGAGATGTAATTTATAAGGAAGGAGTTTAACATTTTAATTTTTTGGGATTTTTCATTTGGTACCATTATAGTTTTTGAACTTTTTCATTTGGTACCCTATTTTTATTTTTATTCAAAATGGTACCACTATGCTTTCGATTTATTCTATACTGTAGCATTCCATCAAACATATTATGTATTCTTCGATTTAAATGTCATAAAAATTGATCGATTAGGGTTTTAAGAGGATGTTTTAGCCCTTAGCAGCCTCAAGGTTCAAGTTTGAGGTCGAAATTAGGAAAAAAAAAAGGCTTAAAAATGTCTCAATTTTTGTGCAAGAAAAATTTCTCGATTTGTATATTTTGATCTGTTTCGTGCAAAATGTTCAGTTAAAGTCTAGGGGGTCATTATGACCTTAAAGGAACAAAATTTGCAGTCGGAATTAAAAATAAAGGACCACAATTTTCCCAAGCTAATGTTTTATTTAACGAAATGCTATAGTAAAGAATAACTCAAAATTACAATGGTACCATAGAACAATATATACCAAATGGAGTTTAACAATATATACCATTTTAAATTTTTGAATAATTTAATGTAAACTAAATTCAAAAAATTTAAAATCATACAATTGTACGGGTATTATACTAGTTACGAAATTCATCTCTAAATTAACAAGCACTAATCTCTCTTCGGAAAACAAAAATGTAGACAAACATGTTTTTACTACTCACTTGTTATTCCAATAATTAAACTACGACCCAGATCTTTTCACCTTAAAACGATACTACCTCCATTTTTTCTAGTTACACGTATTCCATTTTAGGAATTTTATTTTTAGTTGATACGTTTTCTTTTTGGGTAAGTTTTATACTTTGCATTTACTAGTCTACCCCACTTGCTTTACCTTTCTCTCTCATTTTCTCTTCTCCTCTTGATATGTGCTTAAATTGAACGCGTCAACTAAATATAAACGGAGGAAGTAATATTTATTTCAGCTTTAATTAATAACTTTATTTCAGTAAAAATAATTTCACTGTAGTTAATGATTTCATTTTAGTAAAAATAATTTTAACTCGGTAAAAAATAATTTCAGTTAATTTAAAACTCATTAACTGTAAGTAACAAATATAACAGAAAATCACTAAGACTAATTTTAATTTACTAGTATAATGTACTCTATAACAAAAGCGAAAATAAGATGAATTGAACATGGCTTAACTTAATTACTCGTACGAGATATTGGCCTTTGTTGGCTATGTATGATACTCCTTGGCTTCCCCTTCCTTGGCTTCCTCCTTTTAAGACAAAATGGTGGCATATGCAGGAGAAAACAGAGTGGGAAATCTGAATGAAATTGTTAACTGATGAATTCAAATATGATAGCCATTGTTACATGAAATCAAACCCAAAATTAAAATGCCACCACCTGCTAAACCCAGCAAATTTTACTTCTTCTATGGCAGAAGAAAGCCTTCTCAGAACAGACCCACTGTTTATGGTGGTCTCTTCTCCAATCGCCAAACCATAAACCCTAATTCCCTCAATTCCTTAAACCCTAATTTCCATCAATCTCAAAAACCCGCAAATTTTAACCTTCAAAATTGGGACCCAGATTCCCAAATTGGTTCAAAACCCTCTCAACCTAAAACCCCATCTGAAAATTTCTTCCATATTGGTCAGAAATTATCCCCAATTGCTCGTTTCATCTGTGATTCTTTCAGGAAACACCAGAGGTGGGGCCCAGAGGTGATTGCTGATCTCTCGAAGCTTCGCCGGGTTAACCCGGACATGGTTGCAGAGGTCCTTAAGGTGCAGGATGACCCCAACATTTGCTCCAAGTTCTTTCATTGGGCTGGTAAACAAAAGGGCTATCAACATACTTATCTTTCTTATAATGCATTTGCTTATTGTCTGAATAGATTGAATAAGTTTAGAGCTGCTGATCAAATACCTGAGCTGATGCATATGCAGGGTAGACCACCTAGTGAGAAACAGTTTGAGATTTTGATTAGAATGCATGCTGATAATAATAGGGGTCTTAGGGTGTATTATGTGTATGAGAAGATGAAGAAATTCGAGGTCAAACCTCGTGTTTTTTTGTATAATAGGATCATGGATGCTTTAGTTAAGACGGGTCATTTAGACTTGGCGATGTTGGTTTATAATGATTTTAAGAAGGATGGATTGGTGGAGGAGACTGTAACTTACATGATTTTGATCAAGGGTTTGTGCAAAGGTGGGAGGATTGATGAGATGTTGGAGCTTTTGGGACAAATGAGGAGTTTGTTAAAGCCGGATGTTTTTGCATACACGGCTATGATTCGGATTTTAGTGGGGGAGGGGAATTTGGATGGGTGCTTGAAGGTTTGGAATGAAATGGAGAAAGATAAGGTTTTGCCTGACGCAATGGCTTATACGACTTTGATTTCAGCTTTGTGTAAAGGGAATCGTGTGGATAAAGCCTATGAATTATTTAAGGGTATGAAGAATAGGCGAGAGTTGATTGATAGAGCTATATATGGTGCACTGGTGGATGGTTTTGTGGCTGATGGCAAGGTTGGTTCAGCCCTTGACCTGTTAAAGGATATGATGGATTCTGGATATAGGGCAGATTTGTCAATCTATAATACCTTAATACAAGGATTATGTAATTTGAAACAACTTGACAAGGCTTATAAGCTTTTCCAAGTAACAGTTAATGAGGGTCTTCAACCAGACTTTGCAACTGTGAATCCAATGTTGATATCTTATGCAGAATCAAGAAAAATGGATGATTACTGCAAATTGCTTGTCCAGATGCAAAAATTAGGATCACCGGTTATTGATGGACTTTCTGGATTCTTCTCTCTGATGGTTGAAATGGATGAGAGATTGCCTTGTACTTTAGAAGTATTCAAAGATTTGAAAAATAAAGGTTATTGTAGTTTGTCGATATACAATATTCTTTTGGGAGCTCTGTACAAGGTTAGACAACCAAAGGAAGCATTGTCCTTCTTTGAGGAAATGAAAGATTCAAACTTTGCACCCGATTCAACAACTTATAGTCATGCCATCATGTGTCTTGTTGATCTTGAGGATGTGAGAGAGGCGTGTCTTTGGTATAATAAAATAAAGGAGATGGGCTCCATTCCTTCCATTGCAGCCTATTGCTCTTTGGCGAATGGGCTTTGCAAAATAGGAGAGATTGATGCAGCGATTTCTCTAGTCCAAGACTGCTTAGGTAATGTCAGCAGTGGACCTATGGAGCTCAAATACACTCTAAGCATTATCCATGCTTGCAAATCGAATGATGCTGACAAGGTCATTGAAGTAGTAGATGAAATGTTACACCAAGGAGGCATACCTAGTGAAATTATATATTGTGCTGTTATCTCTGGAATGTGCAAGCATGGGACATTGGAGGAGGCTAGGAAGGTTTTCTCCAGTATGAAGGAACAAAAATATATATCCGAAGCCAATGTGATTTTTTATGATGACATGCTCATGGAACACATGAAGAAGAAAACAGCGGACTTGGTCCTGTCAGGATTGAAGTTCTTTGGGCTAGAGTCCAAATTAAAATCAAAAGGCTCTACATTGCTGCCAAGCTAAGAGTGAACAGAGGTAATGTTTTCCATCTAATGGTTAACAGTATTAGTTATTTCCTTTTTGAACTATAGAACTCAACAAAATTTATTTCTGAATAAAGAATTTTCTTTGTAGTTTGATGGAATCAATGTGGGCATTACTATTATTTTATATGTAAGGGGGAGAAAATGGGAGAAGTGTGGATATTTTCTATAGGATATAAATATAGTTTTTATACAAAAGGAATGAGAATGAAAGTTTTGTGAAACAAAATTGCCGTGTCGAATTATTTTGTAATGGCTAACATGCTCAGCAAAACTTCGTGGAATTCTGCAACATGTGTGACGTTGAAGCATTGGGATTATTGGGTGGTCAGGAATCAGGAAATTTGTGATCCATGTACCACTAACTAGAACTATTTTAGGTAATTTGACACTTGGAGATAGGTTGAGAATTTAGAGAGCAGAGATGTTATGCTATTGTGCTATTTCCAAATGTTCAGCAACAGAGCGTTGTTTCTTCAAGACTTCAAATTATTTTTTGAAGCTTTTGTAAGCTGTTGTATGCTTGACGCTCTGACAAGCACTTCACCTTTTATGTATGAAAGAAAAGAATCCTGTCTTTTGCAGCTATGATCTTCCAGTTTGTCCATTGCCTGTTTTTATTTTTTTTCCAAATGGTTGATGTGCTTGTGGCCCTGTTGATAATATGCTGTATATGTTTATGGCTTAGAAAAAGACTAGCTAGAAGTATGAAATAAATGGGCTTTATATTAATAAACCAGGTTTTTTATATGCTCATTTTTTATGCCAGTGAAATAGAATCTTGTGTGTCAATTTCCACAGGCACGGACACACACACACACAGACTTGCAATTTTAAGTCAAAAGCTGTTCAAACACCATGAAGCATGTCAAACTGTGTGTCTATGATTCAGAGCATATTAATTGAACTTGTTTTCCTTTTTTTAGTAGCATCTACCTTTGAATGTTATTACAAAATAAAATGTCTGTGGTGTCTTTGTCAATAACATAATATTACTGACCTGCATACATTCCTCACTCTTGGTTCCTGACATTATAAATTCTGTGGTGTCAAGTGTAAGTGCAAAGTCGAATATTTTGTGTGGGGAACTAAAATAACAAAATCCGACTCAGAGGGAACTATTATTCTGAATCCAAAAGTACATTGGACTTATTAGTATTGGATGTTCTTTTTCTATAGCCTAATATAAACGAGTAAAGAAACTAAAGGATGTTGCAGGAAACACTCAAAGATGGCCTCAGAGGAGGCGCAGAGCTGGAACTGATACAATATTCAGGTTAAACATCAGGAAACAAGGTACCAAAATGATCAGGTGGAAGCTGAAAATTTGTACTGCTGCCAACTGATAGGTGATCTGAGTCTTATTTTTGTTATATGTGCTTTACGAATACATTACTTTAGTTCAAAAACGACTTTATAATAAAGTGAACTCACTATTGAATGCTGCTTGCTTAGGTCATGCTCCAATGTAATGTGACCTAAATCTTGGGTGCCAAAGGTTAAGCTGATCTGTTGATAGTTGCTCATTCTAGGCTTTCTTAGAAGATTCGCTGTATGCACGCCTCTGAGTCTTGTTTTTTTTTTAAATGCTTTACAAATATATAACTTAGGTCAAAAACGACTTTTTAGTCAAGTGAACTCACTATTGAATTCTGCTTGCTTAGGTCATGCTCCAATGTAATGTAACCTAAATCTTGGGTGCCAAAGGTTAAGCTGATCTGTTGATAGTTACTCAGTCAAAGCTTTCTTAGAAGATTCGCAGTATGCACGCTTCAGAATGGAAATACGTCTGCATGCTTTCACTGCTAATAATCTAAATGGGGCTGAGTGCCATAGCTGCTCAGTTACACACGTTAAAGAGTATCCAGCCTTGATTTAGTTCCGTGGTATATATCTCTTGTAGTCACTACTGTGTACTTGTCTTATGAGAGCATTACTGTTGGCGTTCATTAATAGTCATGTAGCTAAATTGTAGATTAGAGAGAAGGATTCAGATGTTCCATTGTAAACATTGAATTTCTTTTTAGCTGTTGGTGTTGACATTAAATAAACCAGATTGTATACTGCTGGAATGCTGGACAATTACTTGTGCTATTACAATAATAATACAACTCTTCTGTCCTGGAAAATTTAACTGTTGGTTAGAATTATGGAATCATATTGCTGCCTACACCTGTAAAACAAGGGTAATTCAAAGAGGCTTACCATCCTACCTTCATATTCCAAGCTCTGAAATCGTTGATTATGAGGTGTGAAGTTTGAGAAATTCAATTACTGTGACCTTCGCTGCCATGATGATTCAATTTTTTTTTTTTTTGTAATTCTTTATATTGTATCATGACTATCCTTGTACATCTTCACCAATATTCATTAAGGTGCCCAAAAAAAGGAGGATGAAAGATGTTTTATAAATGAAGATCCAAAAGAATTTGGAAAACTAAGGCTAGATAAAAGAAATTGTATCCATGCAGATTACAACAGAATTTCATTATTAGTATACACAATTACAAAGATCAGAGTACACTGCCTGAATGAGAACAGGTAGTTGTGTGCTCGGCTAGCAGGTTAGGACTTCCATGGTCCCTCAGTTTTTTGAGAGAAAAAGGAAGCTCCATTTGGCAACTTTTCTTTCAAAACAAAGGTAACTCCTCTTTCAGATTCCACCACTTCTACGTTAACTATTGCATTCATCATTATAGTCCCCACTATACCGATATAGCTATACAAACTACGGTGCATTCAGTTCATCTCATGAAAGACTGGAGCAATTACAGTGGTGATTGGTGAAGATGCCTAAATAAGATCTACCCTAAAAATACGTAATAGCAATCTCACGTAGAATGTAGGAATTCAAACTTCACGCTTTGGCCTATTGCGAGCTCGAGAAAGTGCAGGTTTCTCTTTCTCTGGGATCACTATTTCAGTGGCATCATCGATCTCTTCCTCTGCTTCTCTAATTGCTTCATTCATGGCAAGCTGTCACACAGGTACAATTAGGTACAAAATAGAAGGCTAATAACAGGACAAGAAGTATCAAATGCATCTCACCAAAATCACAATATCATCATCAAAACTCAAGAATCAAATTAAGATATACATCAACTAACCATACAATTTCCATGATAATTGTACTTGATTCCAATGTCTTGCATTTACTTCTATTAAATTGATAAGAATGGAAATCAGAAGCCACTAAACATCCAACCTGCTTCATAGTTCATATTCAGGAAAAATACCTCCAGTAAAGCATACAATGCATACAACTATAAATTGGCAACTTTGCTTATAGAAGGGGTGATACCCATGTACTCTGAGCTAATCAAGACAAAGTCACAAGGAAAATGTTGTATTCCATCTCACAATCACAATCAACTGATGCAAGCAGACTAATCTATATTATCTCAACTTTGCAGTCTTTGACAGCAAGAACTGAACAACGCAACAACGCTCAGCATCATTGTGCAAAGTAAGCCACAGTCAGTCGTCTTTCGAACACTATAAGTCAATGCAAACAACGACAGTCTTAGCTGAGCATTCTAGCAGCACATCTTTTTTTACGCAGCAAAAACCCAATCACGTCAACTGCCAATCATCAAATCCCCATGTTTTCATCCCAAGTTCTTGTAACACAGCAGCTTAAAAACATAATTCCATTTTTTTGTCAGCTCTACCTAGTACTTAAAGATACATATCATTAAGTCCAACTGACTCCAACCATAGGACGGTCTGAATCTATACAATGAAAGTGACCCTTTTTATCCTCAACTTAATTCTAAATGTCCCCCCACATTCCTAAAGCATCCCATTGTAGCTCAATAGATCCATGCAATCAAGAGAATACATCAGGCTCCCAGCATCCACTTGTCCCGATTTATTTTGTTAAAACACAATAATTTTTTCAATACTTCAGCAACAGGATAAACGACCATTTTTTCCAAGCTAACTGGTACGGAATGGTATGAACCTAGGAGCCATTTGAGGCTGAAAGCCATATAATTACACTAATAACCCAACATGTAAACCCTCACCTACGTTTTTAGTAACTAGAATAGTGTTACTTCCTCAACAGTTTATACATGCTACTCTATCAAATGGCTATCAAACAACCAGGTCAATTACTACTTCAAAGTTCATCAAACCCTGCCATGTATATACACTTCCAGCCCTCTCGTTTCAATAGTCACAACGAACCCTTTACCAGGTTATTTATTATTATATTGGGAAGAAGTTTAATCTGTCATGGTACTCTTATGAAATTGACCAGAAACTAGCAAGAGACTTATATGGACCAAGTACTAGATACTGTCAATTATAAAGCAGAACAAACTATGCACTATTGCCTCAATGAAGACATGTCGTATTTGCAAGCAAGACTAACTTCAAAAACACCTTTCTCCTCGCCTTGATTCATTCTTCTTTCTCTATTAGAACCTCCGTACAACTATTGTATCGAACAATATATTTAGTGAGTACTCCGTAGTACAGAAATCAAATATTTCAATCTTTACCCCTTAATTTATTCACTCAAATCAATTTATCAAAGGATTTTTTTTTATTGAAAACCTTACCTTAGCGCACACAACTTCTAAAAAAGTACTGTATTTTCACATACTTGTTCTAACTACCATAAACAACAACCCTCCCACTACTTCAACAAAGCCACTGAGGACTTGATCAGACCAATCAATACAGCAACCTGATGTCATGATGTACGAAATTGTTCGGTTAACATGGACATTACGAATTTGCCAACTAGCTTAGTTGATTAAAGTCTCGGGATTTGGTATCCCGTCTACGTCACATAATCATACCAAGTTAGTTACCAACCACTCCGAAATTCACTTTCTCCCTTATGTAAAAGGCAACAATTTGCTATAATTTCACCTGAATATTTCAATAAACCACAACCCAATCAACCCCACTTAATTTCACCATAAACCCATTTCCTAAAAACAAATAACACTACTAAAAACACATAGGAAGCAAGAATTCAGCAAATTTATCATTTATTATGCAATTGTACAAACATAAACATATAGTAGTAAATTAAAATTATATACCTCCTCAAGGAATTTCTGGTCAAGTCTATCACCAATTCGAAAAGCAGTGAAGACAGTAATGGCGAGAAGAGAGAATGGGAAGAGGAAAGCAAAGATGAACTGACTGGTAGTTGGGCCTGCGCGAGTAACAACACTGACGCCTCTCATTCGCCGGCGGTCTAATTCGCCGGGAAATCGAACTGGCGAAGGTCGGAAAGATGTCGGAAAAGCGACGTGAAGTGGTTGATGATGTGAGGAAGAGAGAGTTTTAGAGGGAATAGTACTGAAAGTTGCCATTTTTGAGTGGATAGATAATTAGATATGGTGTCTGTTGTGTACAGGATATAGCAGGATAGTAGCGGTTTCAAAATGGAGTAAAGGGTGTGTCAAAAAAATAGAGTAAAGGGGAATGAGGAGATTTCGACTCGTATGGACATATCGAAATAATTTAGTATGATTTAAGATTGAAATTAGATATAATTCGACTCGACATTATTCAATCCGGATAATTGACACCTCTAGTTTATACCTTATATGAATAATGAACAACTTGCTTACATCAAGTATTATTTTGTAAATTTAGCCGCTACACCTCCTTTCTCGCTCCTCTATCACCAGTACACAACCACTAGTACCACCCGCCGCACCACCGGATAACCACTAGCACCATCACACAACCACTGGCACCATCAGCCAATCGTTGCACGACCATTAGCACCACCATCCAACCACCACATCACCGCGAGCACCACCCGCACGAGCAAATGTCTTTCGCTAAGGGGTTAGTATGGGTCCATGTACTTTACACACTTTGCTATTAGTCTATTAGGGTGTCTTTCATTCGGTCAAACGACCGATTTAGAGCTGCGAAGGTGGTCGATTGCCGGCATGGCCATGAGAGGGGAGGAGAGGGAAGGAAATAGTCTCCATGTGAGGTGATATTTTGTTTATATAGGATATTAACTAGGCAAGGGAAATTCTCTATATGCATGTAATGTGTGCGTTGATGGATATCAATAATCCCTCTGTTTTTTAATATTGCACTAGTGTGTCACCCGTGCGATGCCCTAAGTTACCGCTTTAATTAATTTTATTGTTGAGCAAATGGCTTGTCCATCATGGTTTTGTGTATTTGAAATTTGTTAAATATTATGTTCTGACAAAGAGTGTTGAAAGACAATAGCAACCGCTTTGATTAAGTTTTTTTTTTCGTGCCAAGGGCTTGGTCATCATTATTTTTGCCTTTGAAATTTGGTAAAGATTATGCTTCGAACATAGAGTATTGAAAATCAATATTTAACACTTCATTCTTTGCAAGTTGTTGATTAGCTTCCTCTAATTTTTCTTCCAAGTTGTAGCTGTTGTATTTTCCTTTTTTTTTTGTGCATCCTATTTTGTTCCTTTCACTGTCCAGCTGCTACAACTGCCTGGGTTGTTGATGCTCCATCTTCTTTGTCGTTATCCCTGTATTTTAGAGATTACGTTTTTCATTATTTGTGGGTCTTTTTTTTGTAACTGATTTTCACTGTTTTGAGATGTTTGACTTACATCTCATCTCGAGTCCTCTTCTTTGGAGTACTTTGTGTTTCAGTTTTTCCTGTGTTGTCATCCTCTAGATGTTGTGGTTGGTGTATGATGGCTTCCTACAGAATGCATATATTTTAGTAGTGTCTAGGTCTTAGTTTAAGGCAGTCCCATTGGTATTTGTGTTGTAACACACCTGGCTTTGGTTTTGTCGCTCTTGGTAAGCTTTTTCTAATTTGTAGTTGATGTCGTATGTTTTTTGGCAAATGAGTTTAGTTTTGTTACTTCTTGTGCTTAGCTTGACCTTGAAAACGAATTGTTTGCCAGCACAATGCTCTAATCGTTGCAACGTTAACACCTTTTCTTTGTCATTTTCCTACATTTTGTATATGGTCATCTTAGTTTAAAGGCATTATATTGTAGTTGTTGTTAGTAAGTTGAGAGTCATACCTTTTTCTCGAGTTCCATTAATTTGTGGACCGGACTTCCCACAATTTTTTCAGCCTCCTTATCAAACAAAGCCATTGGAATACATGCACTTCCATCGTCTATGTCAATAGTTAAGAGGTACCTGCGAGTTGTGTTGGTTGTTACAATGCAAGATTATTTTATCTGTTTATTTTTAAATGAGTGTGTGGTTGGTATTCTGATGTACCTTGTCTTAGGGTATTTGACTATATCATCGCAGTTTGAGCTATAAAAAGTCTCATCTATCTTTTTCTTACATGCAGCACAGGAGTTGTAATGCCATTTTTTGTCAGCGTGAATGCTTGTTATTGTTGCACTACAAGTAAACATCTCCTGCAATAATATAGTAGTTGGGTAGTATGTTCAGTTTTATTAAAGTGTCCTTGCTTTTGTTTAAACATATTTTCATTTGTTAAAGATTAAGTGTCGTGATGATAATAAACATACGTACGAAGTCAACATTATATTTTTAATGCTGCTAAACTATCATGCCATAAATTGTGATGTGTGAAAAATTTTTTTAACATGTTTGCAAGAAGTAAACTTGGATTATGTGTGGCTTTAGCATAAAGTAGTAAGAAAATAAGTGGTAATGGTTTTCTTCTCTTTTAGTAAAGTCTATTATGGGACTGATTATTATTTCTGGAAATGTTGGATCCGTGAAACATAGATGTATGGGAAAATTAGTGATTGGCGCTACCTTTTCTTGTGGATCCAACTGTAGAATATCTTCAATCCTTTTTCTGTTTTCAAACATGGCTTCCACAACTGGTTCATGTGGTTTTGCCTCTAATTGTTTTATGGGTGTTTTTGGCTCTACCATGTTAGCCCTGTTGATAGATTGATGTCCTGTGTTTAGATCTCTGGTTTTTTTAATTTTCTATATTTATATCAATGTAAAAGTTGCTTACCCTTGCTTGAAACTTTCTATTTCAGAAATTGGCAAGTTGATGTGTATCTTTGTGGCATGGGTTGAGCTCAACTGGTAGTTTCCTGCATGTGACATGTTAGGATTATGTTATTGTGGTTGAGCAGTAGGAATGTTTTATTTGTAGTGTAGATGTTGGAGTTTTGAATTTGTTCTTTGTTGTTTTCTTACATTGGTACATGGTGACTTCTGTAGAGGTGATGAGGAGTACTTTGCAGCCATCTTGATCTTGTGTTATCTCAGTGCTTATTAAGTCAGATTTTGCTCCCCATAAAGCTAGTGACCACGACCTTCACATTGTTGCATGGTTATGTGCGTGAAGTTTACTAGACTGACATACATATACATAATTGTTTTTGTAATAAGTAATGTAATTTCTTACCATTAGTCTTCAATGTGTATCCTTCTTAATGGAGTTTTTTGTTGGCCAACATTGACCCATGTCTTCTCTTCCACTCTAGTTAGTAGGCCGACAACATCTATAAATTTGTTTTTGTTTTTTAAAACACAGATTGAAATGATTACAGGAAAATATTATGCTATGATTAAGAAGTAGGAAAATATATATTGTAGATGTTGTATGGCATGTGTGTGAATGTAAGTTTATTTCACTTAATGTAAGGTAGCTTACTTATGGCGTAGTCTGTCTTTTTCTTTCGTTCTTGCAATCGGTCAAGGGGTGTATTTGAAAGTTGTTCATCCGGATTTCAGCTGCACTTTCTTCTTCTTGTACCACAACAGTGAAAGGAATGATCTTATGATCTGATCCTTTTTAATTGGGCAGTGAAGCTTTTTGTTCTTAGCTACTTGAAATTATTGAAGGTGTGTATTTTTCCTTCTATAATTTCCTCCTTGTATGATTTTAGCAAGTCCTTCCTCATAGTGGCCTGAATAAGTCCTCCCTGCATTTATGTAGATATTTCGTTGTTATTTTTTTGATAGGTAATGTAGCTGACATTTTTAAGTAATTTTTTTTACCTCTTTGTCCAAGAGAAGCATATCAAAAGAAGTGGGCTGGTCATTAAATTTGTATACTACATCCCACGTCCTTATCACTCGAGCTAGCAGTGGTCCAGCCTTTAATGCGTTCTTCAGTTCAGCAATGTTTTGTGCTTTCGCCATTTTTGCACACAATACATGCACATAAGTTTGTTAGACATAACATTTGTATGACTGAATTAAAAAATTGTCGTTGCTTTTAGCATAGAAGAAACATGTAATATATTATAAAAATTTGAATAATATTAAACAAGAAATAAACTTTATGCAAGAGAAAGCATGGTGTTTAAATAGGATTTTATTAACGGTTGATAAGTCAAGGCTTTCTGTTAAACCTATGTCTAACAGATACATTTTTTTCGAAGCTAAGATCATTAAAATTTTCTTTGTACACGACATTTTTTATTTTCCCAATCTGGCCCTCTTCACATTTTGTGTTAGGGATGCATATTTTGAGTCCCTTTCTTGCGGTGACTCTTAAGATAGCCACATAAAGTTGCCCATGGCAAAAGACTGGTTCTGGTAAGTATATTCCAACGTGATCGAAAGTTTGCCCTTGGCTTTTGTTGATTATCATTGCAAAGCAAACCTTGACTGGGAACTACCGACGCTTTAGGATGAATGGCCATTTTGTATCTGATTGAGACATTTCCACACGTGGTATGCAAACCAGGTCTCCTGCATTTGTTCCAGTTACAATCCGTGCTTCAATCACTCTATTTTGTAATCTGGTTACAATCAGAAATTACAGAATTCTTAGCAGACATACCAGGTCAAGGTTCAGAAGACCGACCAGATGTTGTGGTACGCGCATTTAAAATCAAGCTAGATGAATTAGTACGTGATCTGACTACAAGAGAATATTTTGGGAGGACATAGCAGGTAGTACCTTAACCTTAATTCTGAGTAATTTGAAAGCTAACATTTTGTTTTACCTATGCAGTGGTATATACCATTGAATTTCAAAAAAAGGGACTACCACATGCGCACATCCTATTATTCTTGCATCCGGATGATAAGCCCCAAATTCCAGAAGACATCGATAAAATTATTTCTGCAGAATTCCTAGACAAGGATCATTACTTAATTGGTTACGAAATTGTCGTCCAATCGATGATGCATGGACCTTGTAGGGCAATGAATCAAAGGTCTCCATGCATGCAAGATGGAAAGCGCTCAAAACACTATCCAAAGGATTTTGAAGGAGCAACCATGCTAAATGATATGATGAGGGCTACCCTATTTACAGAAGACGAGATAATGGCAGAACAAGAACGAAAAATTAACAGGTATTGGATAACAGATTTGTCATACCCTACAACATCGACCTGGTTATCAAATATCAAGCCCACATAAATGTTAAATACTGCAACAAAGATAGGTCACTGAAATACCTATTCAAATACATGAACAAAGGTCCAGACATGTCTATTGCAAGGATTGAGCAGACTAGAGGGGAAAATGAAGGGTTTCACGCTCAAACAGAAGAGGACAAAGTAGTAGACGAGATAGAGAATTATCTAAAATGTAGATATGTGTCCGCCTTTGAAGCTTGCTAGCGAATATTTGCATTCATCATCCAATACAAGGATCCCCAGGTACAAAGACTTACGTTCCGCCTAGAAAATCAACAACATGTGCTTTTTGAAGACCATGAGCACCATGATTTCTTGGAAAGAGTAGAGCAGAAGAAAACAACATTGACAGAGTGGATGACTGCTAATAAGTTGTATGCAGAAGCATGTGACCTGACATATGTGGACTTCCCTACAGAGTGGAGGTGGTCGAGTGATGAGAAAAAATGGCAAAAAAGGAAGATAGGGATGAGCATTGGAAGGATTTACTTTGCCTACCCAGCGTCCGGAGAGAAGTATTATTTAAGATTGTTGCTTAATATTGTCAAAGGTGCGACATGCTTCGAAGACATCATGACAGTTAGTGGAATTATACATCCAACATACAAGGCAACATGCCATGCTCTTGGACTTCTAACTGGAGATAATGAATGGCATGAGTGTTTACATGAAGCAGTTGTATGGGCTACTGGCACACAAATACGGAACCTCTTTGTTACAATACTACTGTTTTGTGAGGTTTCAGACCCAAAAGACTTGTGGGAAAAGCATTGGGAAGCCTTATTAGATGATATAATTCACAGACAACGCCAAAGACTAGGTATTTCAAACTTGAGTCTTAATGAAGAGCAACTTCGAAACTACGCTCTATATGAGATCGGACAACTCTTAAATAGAGAGAATAGAAGCCGCATTAATTACCACGAAATACCGCTACCAGATGGAGCTTTACTACATGAATCTAGAAACCGAATGTTATTAGAAGAACAAAACTACGACACACAATCGTTGGCTCACAATGCATGTGACTTAGATCATGGATTGAATACTGAACAGAGACATGTTTATGATAACATTCTTGAAGCGGTGTACCATAACACAGGTAAACTCTTC